GATTGGCAGAACGAAGCAGTAACGCCAGCTAGAGCTAGATAGATACCCTCCAATGACGGGACCGATAGCATAGCTGATTCCGTTGACCAGGGAGAAGACCGTGTTGTTCTTCGAATTATCGGCAAGGGAAACGTTGTCAGAGAGCACGATGCGGGTAAGGTTCATGACACCGGCTGCTCCGAGACCTTGGAGTGCTCTACCAAATAAGAGCATTCCCCAGTCGGCAGCTGCGGCGCATAGAACACTGCCGATTAGGATACCGAACATGTGAAATTGAAGTGCGAAATGGCGACCATAGATGTCTGCAATTTGACCGGATGTTGGAACGAATGTGGTAAATGTAAGTGTGTATGCTGCGACTATCCAATTAAAGCTCCCACTGAGACGATCTGTTTTGGTCAGTCATTTCGCGCAATGGGTGAGGATATCAAGTAGTGTGAAGCTCAGTGGAAATGTGGAAAGACATACTGAAGTGCGAGCTGATTTGAGGCACTGCGGGGGCGACAATAGTCACATCTACAGCTGCCAGAAAGTTCGGCAGTAGTAGCCCAAGTATCATTCTCCACCGATGGTTCCTCCGCCTGATAGCCTCTTCCTTGATGTGTGCATTCTCTGTTGCGTTGAAAGTTGCATGGCTCGGTTTCGCTGTACTGGGTGAAGAGGGTCCAGTCTCGCTTTCTAAACCGGGTTGATTTTCCCGCCCTGGGTTGATCTCGGGAATGAGATGGCTCTCGTCCGTGGTAGCTGCTCTCCTTTCGCGAACCTTTCTCCTAATGTACTTGAACAGGAAATAGGCCATGTTGGGGAGAGGAGGATCGACTCGAACGTATCAACTGACAGGTGATAGACTGAAAGAAAGAACCTTTCGAATTCAGAGAAGACTCAGGTTTGGTGATTAGCTCCACATACAAAGACAGCATACTTATAATCTTCATCGTCTTTGTCAAGCTTCACCTATTCCGGACAGCTGTGCGGAAGGCTGAGTAGGGCTGAAATGATATTGGCCTAGGGAAAGGCTAGCCTTGTCTGTTAACCGACACATGCTTCTCATCAGGAGAGCTGTGACTCGAAATTCGTAAAGCTGCTTTGCGTAGTTCCGATAGGTGGGAGGAGGTGTCAGTGCAGGGTTTCGACTTGCAGAGCCACAAAATTGGATCGCGCTCGCACAGCTGTCCGGAAAAGGAAAGGCCAGCTCCACTCACTGATTGGGTTAGTGCGATCGCTGCTAGAGTTTGAGCATCTCAGCTCGAAGACCTGTTGTATCAGTATACAACCGCCTAGGCTTTACTATTTCGCTCTCGTTGAATGGTTATCTTGGCAAGGAATGTAACATGGAGCCACCTATGCATCTCGTCGTCCGACTGAAGAGCTCCTCCATTCCACTTTCCAAGATCTTCCCGTGTACATCTTTCAATCAAACCTTGGAACCAACCTAGACCTAGCTCTAGTCGGTTGAGTACCCCAGGAAATCGTGGCTTGAGCTTAGAATTCATTTTAGTCTTCTAAATGTTGAGCGTTGTTGCCGACTGTGAGCAAAGAGAGATGACTTTCAGGTGAACAAGGCTACGCAAAGACCTTGCGAATCCAGCAAGTGTGGGAGCTACAGTAGTAATGCAAGATAGATAGATGGCTATAGTCAAAAGCTGAAGTCAGGCCACACCTACTTCATAGATAGAATATCTTCGTTAGCGTACCGCTCACGACACCATTACGGGAGCTTGCAGGTGGGACCCAAGTGACGCAAGATCTCACCCAAAACGTTCCGCCTGTCAGCAGCTTCAACATCGCAACCCAACCGTCACAACCATGAAGCCAGCGATAGCGATCCCAGCAATCGCCGCGCTAGTCTACCGCGCATGGTCGCGAAAGTCACTGACACCGCTCGGCATTGCGACTGCGTTCCTGACAGCTGTAGCGCATGCCGTCCATCCGTATAGCGTGTGTTTTGCGCTACTAGCCGTCTTCTTTTTGCTGGGGACTGCTGTCACCAAAGTACGACTTCCGCTATCTTGACCCCGGTATAGGGACTATTGAGGTTGACGTACCACAGGTCAAGCACGACGTCAAAGCCAGACTGACACAGTCGTCAACCGGTGCATCCGGCGGTGAAGGGCCAAGAACCCATATCCAAGTCCTCGCGAACTCGCTCGCAGCGTCGGTGCTGATACTGTTGGATACGTGGCGCTTGAAGAAGGAGGGCGTGTACTCAGACAGTGATCTGTGTTGGCGCAAAGGTAGCGATGTCCTGCTCGTAGGCGTCGTTGCGAATTACGCCGCCGTGGCCGCCGACACGTTCTCCTCCGAGCTCGGTATCCTGTCGACAGGCAAGCCGCGACTTATAACAGCCCCATGGCGCGTTGTTCCGCCGGGCACGAATGGAGGCGTGACTCTGACGGGCCTCGGCGCGGGGTTGCTGGGCGCGTTTTGTATTGCTTTGACATCGACGCTGCTACTGCCGTTCTGCAAGAATTGGTCGACTGTGGACAAGGCGAACTTCACATTGGCAATTACACTCGCAGGACTGGGCGGCTCTGTTCTCGACTCGTTTCTGGGTGCAGTGTTCCAGGCCAGCGTGGTCGATCTGCACTCCGGGAAGGTCATCGAGGGTGAAGGCGGACGGAAAGTGCTGATTCATGGAGCCCATTCTATCCAGCAGAAAGCGTCTGCTAAAGCTCGCAGCGGAGCAGTGAGTTATGAAGAGGGCAGAGAAGGTATAGCGAACACCTCTGGCATCGATGACTCAGCGAAAGCGACGAAACGGAAGCAAGAGGCAGGTCAGACGTCACCTGAGAAGCATGAGAGTCGAAAGGTTGAGGTTGGATTTGACATTCTCGACAACAACGCTGTCAACCTTCTGATGGCTGCTTCGATAGGTGTGGCCTCGATGGTAGTTGCGAGTATAGTCTGGGACTTACCTATTACCCGTGTTATATCACTATAGATGCACAATGTTGATATTCCACTCCACGTACACAGTTCATACTAGGATACTATTCATCCAGATTGTTGAACCTCTTTCTTAGGGACCTCGCATGTTGGAGGCATGATTGTGATGCATCTCCCTTTCCAGAGCTTGTTGTACACACCAGACTGCTACTATCCTCGACTACTCTCGTAGTGGCTCCATGCCTCTGCCCTTTCCGCAATCCCACGCCATTGATACCTCTTCGATGACTAGCCCTTCAGATGTCTCCTAGCCAGCTCACCAGTTCATCTTCATCCGGCTCTCCATCTCGGTGTGGAAGTCGGGTACTTCGCGGAGCTCGTTGCCTGCATTTCAAGTATCAGCCTCTGACCAGGCCGCACCGCATCCAAAGCAGCTCCCCAAATCTCTAGTACCCAGAGTGAGAGCAAGCACTTACCGACAAACACATCCTCCCACCCAATCTCGCAGTCCCTGCCCTCCAAGATATCCTTATGCACACCGCTAGCTCCACCAAGCGCAGCCGGCCGCCACTCTCCCTCCTTCGCAATCTTAAGCTCCATGCCTCGACGCACCGGCTCCGCAATTCCAAACTGGCGTCGCAGCATCTCCATCTTCAGATTGTCCTGCGTCTCACGCCATTGCACGAGGCGAGCTTCCAGTGGGTGTGCCGACTGTAGCTGCGGCTTAGCTGAGGTTGAGGTGCTGGCGTCCGAGGGTGCAGAGGAGAGCGCAAGGCGTGAGCGCAGGGTATCGTGGACGCCGGGGGCAGACGGTGCGGAGGTTTCGGGGGAGACGTGCGTGGGGTGAGCGGTTGAGGGGACGAAGCGGAGAGACTGGTCGCTCTATTAGTATATGCGAATTCCCAACGGGCACTGGAGATGGTGAACGCATACCATGTTGACTTGTGGTGTTGGAGGTCTTATGATGTGCTTGTTCGGTGATTTGACGCTCCCAGAAGCTTGACTCTGGGTCTTCGGTCGAAGGATATACCGTGCGATTATTGGGAGAAGTAAAGGAGTCAAGATGGAGGTGATGTAGAGCTACTCTAGTGTTGCAGAAGCTGTTCCGAGCTCAAGGCTCCGAAGTGACGCGCCGCCGCTAGCGCCTTGGCATGCCATGTCCCGATAAGGAAGCATGATCACAATCTCTACCCACTTCAGGGCTCACAGGAAGCAAATGTTTCACTGATTTTCCTACGCTCTCTTGTACTGTCTAATCGACGTGTAATAAGTTTGAAGATCATGGAAGTATGCCTCTATAAGAGGCTTCTCTATATTTCTGCAGCGAAATCTCTACTTCTCCAATAGGTTATGTCAGTCGTCAGCTTCGGTAAATGGAGTACAGATTCTCGGGGGACAGTAATCAGATCATGCCATTCCACTGTTATGTACCCAAGCCTGATCTTCTCCAGAAGGCTAAACACAATGCTACTTATACAACTAAAGCTCGAGAAGCACCAAACACCATCAAATACAGCAGTCCAGATATGACCGGGTACCCCAGTGACAGATAAATGACCATGAACTAACTCTTCTTATGCCAAAGTAACGCCGTGGTGGTCCAATGACCTGCAAGAAAGGAACAGAGCGGACTGCCCTCTCTTCGCTTCATTCAAGGAGCCGGATAGACCCCATTCCTATTCAGAAGTACAACCATGAGCTTTTCCCCAAATGAATGGCAAGAAAGGCCCCACGTCTCTTATGAGGGCGCCAACGGTGCCTGAAGTCACAAGTGTCAGCCATACCGTTGGCGCCACATCTTCAACGCCAGAGCCGCCCACAATCTTTTTGGTAGCACACCAAAGCCCAACGCATGCTACAGGTGTAGGGTCTACGTTATAAGATAACACAACGGCAGCCAGCATGCGCCTCCTCATCGCCATCTCTTCTTGCCCCACCCTTTCCGGTTTTAGCATCCTCATCGTCAACAACCTCTTGTGGCTTGACGGTCATGTGTACGACGTTAGGTGCTTCGGTCTGGAATCGGCATTCTGTATGCAGCAAGTCTGTGGTTAGCTAGGGTTGCTAACGTATATGGTGGCAGGGATATGGCCAATCGCCGCGCCACGCCGAGCAATGGACAAGCCACGCCAAGCATTCGAGAAGAAGTTAGGGCTGGACATAGGAAAGCATGTGGCGGGGCCTGACGAAGTATCGTATAGCTTCCTGGAGTTGATGTACGCATGATGGACGTGAATTGTGTGGGGGAAACAGGTAGTGCACCCAAGATCACGAAATTAATTGCTTACCTTTCAACGGAGATTTGTCGTCCAGCATCCGTCCGAAGTGAATCAGTCGTATCGAGCTAGGGGATGTGGGCCGCGGCTCCCATTCTGTTCAGCTGCATTAGTGACTGCTTCTGAAAGATAGCTTTTCATGCCAGCAATTCGAAGCCTGGTTGTATAGAGGCTTGAGAGCGCAGGACTACGCTGAGCATACCTTCTCTCCAGTCTCTCCATATCAATTCCTTCAACGTATATATGCTGATGTTGTAGGGATCCATGTTTTCGACGTTCACATTACGCTTCTTCAGGTACTTCTCGTCAATCTTGTACGGGTGACGCGCTCCGGTGATGAGTAACAATGTAATGATAACGACCGGTCCGTTCGAGTTGTCTGGTTTTACGGCAGGGGTATCTGTTGAGGGACCGATGGCCTCGGTTTCAGTGCGGTTCAGGTTCGGCGGAGACGAGGGTTTCGTGGGCGATGCCGGGGCGGCGGCGTATTCTGCAATTGGTGGTGTGGCCCTCTCAAGGGCTGCGTCCTCCGTCCCCCCTATTGCTTCCTGCGGTCTTGTGACGTTCGATACGGGACCCGAGGTGCTGGCTGGGGTCGGATTTGCGGTGGCTGCTGGTAATGTCCTCATCTCGACGGGGCTGGTCGACAGAGCATCATGGCCGCTGCTGGGCCGCGAACCTCCTGATTGCGGGACACTCGGCGCGGGCGTGTTTGTTGAGGACTGCTCAGCCGGTAACGTAGCCATTGTCCCCCCGGGAATGCGCCGCGACGGCCGCGACGAGGGCGATTGCGCGGAAGACAATCGGTTTCCGAGCGAGGGTATGGCGGTCCAACGACAAGCGACGGTATCAACACTGGACGAGGCGTGAGAAGCGAAGCAGGACGCTGCAGCGAGGTGAGAGTATGAGTATGGCGCGGGCGACGGCCGTGAATGAATAGATGTTCCAAGCGGGTCTTCTGGGCCCCAAGTTCGCGCGGCGCACGGATATCCGGCGTTGCCTTGTCTTGTCTTTACTCCGCAAAATCGCCTCCAGCTCTGGATCCAGAATGTCGCCCCTTTCCGCGGGAATTAACGTTTAGCTGGAGAACTCGCTGCGCAACCCGACCAAATGAGCAGCAGTGAGCGTGAGATCAGCTTCCTTATCAGTGTACCAGGGCATCATTGCTTTCCGAATACATATGACAACCACTATAAAGTCTTCCCTAATTGACCTAGCCCCTTGGAACCGATCAGGTTTCCGACATGCCCATCCCTGCAGCATCTCAGCGCTCGATTGGTGGATCCCAATGACCGTTGCGTTAGCATTCACTCGCGTGCGTTCTCGTAGACCGTTTGGGACACAGAACACAGAGAATGGAGGCCAGAACGAGCCAGGAGTACTGCACGTTTCTGTACTGCAAGGCTTTCACTACTCTATATAGAGGCTGATTCCTTTGCTTTTCATGGAGACCAAAGTCATCTATGCGTTCTGGACAGATGCCAAGAAGCCGTCCCTACGAGTCTTGAGAGGGCAGGATACTGTAATGCGTAGTGGCTACTCTACAGATCCTCACAGTCCTACACAGGCGCGCTCTATGACATTGACAGTTGCTTTCGGCTTGGACAGTACACTGGAGAAGGTAATCGGCTTCGTCACTGTTCGTTCATGGGTTGGGACACTCTGTGTGATTCGATGGTGCCTCCTTCCAGGTCACGCACCGAATGTGAGTGAATGATGTAGACGCCGACAACGCACGTCGCCAGAGCGTGCATGAAGACGGGGATCGACTTTGCGTGCTAGAGTTGCACCGGGTAGGGCGTTGGTCGGCAGGCCAAGACATCTTTCGATCTAGGTGCTGACCCTTGCATGCGTCATCGCTTCTGCTGCAGCTTGTCCATAACCTCACCCCATCGTCCTACCACAGCAAAGCTCCCAGAGCACACAGTCATCGCAGTTGTCCTGGATCGAACGTCCCTACGTGACCATGGTTTTACGGGACTTGGGCGACACGCCCCAAGAGGGTTTCAATGACAGCCCATTCCCTTCCGACAGCGACCCGTATTCGACCTCAAGCTCGACCTCGCCCGTCACCGGCCAACGTTTCGATGCGAGTCGCCTACCGCAACCCCTTCCCCTTCCACTTATCGGGTTCTCGCGCAGTGCCATGACCTTCAAGACCAATAACACAATTATTTTTGCTGAGCAAAAGATTGGACGGCAATTAACGTCCGAGGAATCCCAGACGTTGGCGCATATTCTATTCAGGATGGAACAGAGGCAATCATACGTTGCTGCAGCCGGTCTTGCGGCCGGGGCTTGGAGATGGTATACCACCATGGCTGTTAATCGCTACCCCATGTATCTACCCAAGGCGGAGAGCATCAACCCGAACAAGTTCATGTTCATCAATGGCCCGAATGCTCAGTGGGCACGTCACAGCTGGCGATTTTTGCTGTATGGCTTCGTAGCGGGAGAATTGGGAAAGGTAGTCGGCCAACTATGGGCACAGCCACTCGCTGCTCGCGAAACCGCTACCGATCCGAACCTTCGTCAATTTGCGCAAGACTTGAAAGCGAAAATGCAGGGCGCGGGGCTCCCACCTCCTGGCCAAGGCGCGGGGCTCCCAACTCATGGCGCGCCAGCACAGAATCTTCCACCTCATGCCGGAGCGCCTCGCTGGGGCCGCAGACCTCCATCTCAAACTCAAACTCAGCCTCAGGCTTCTACCAACGACGATGATGATATGTCGCCAACGGCAGGAAACGACTCGTGGTCCTTTGCACCTTCCGATCCTTACGGTGACTCCAGCTCTTCCTCTGAGCGTACAGGGACTCGGTCAGACCAGAGGCCAGTCCCACCTTCTCCGCAGACAGACCCGTTCGACAGACGTCCCAGTCGGTCAACTGACAGTGACGCTTCCTCTACTAATGGCGTCCCCCAAAATGAGACACAAAATCAACCTATACCTGGTCAGTCAGCGTGGGATCGCCTTCGACGTGGAGCCAATCCTACTGCTCCGTCTCGGCAAGGTTCACCTCATCGCGAGCAACGAGATGGTTCCACTCTAGGTGACGGATTCACATTTGTCGAGTCTGGCGATGAAAGGAAACGCGCTCAAGAGCAGGCTCAGAGCGAATTTGACCAGAGGATTGAACGAGAGAGGCAGGGGAAGGACTTCAATAGCGAGAGGCGATGGTGAGGTTGTTCGCATTCAACGCGTTGTGACTGAATCTTGGTTCCGAAATCATATATCGGGAGGAATGAATGAACCCTTTCATCGCTGCTGGCAATGCTCCACCGGCATTAGACCCAAGACTCTGGACCCAGGTCTATTGATCCAAGACTGGGAAACGCTTCCTGCGGGTAGACTGATTATTCGTGCTGTGCATTCAGCAATAGGGGTGCTTAAGAGCAAGCTAGGAGACTTTAGCGGCAAGGACCTCACTTTGCTATGGGTAATTGTAGGCATATTGAGACGGTTGATCAGTTTCTCGAAACAAAAATCGAAATTTTCTATGGCTATAGTACTTTGGAACATGCGGTGAGTGACCTTTGGCAAGTAAACGCATCTAAGGCATACCTTTTACGGGTAGGAGCTACCTAAGCACCTTCCAAGACTAGAGTTTTTCGAGTCCTGTCAGTGTATCGTACCAAGGTAAGGACAACCTTGGAACCTTGGAACACACCGATCACTAGGTATTGATCGTTGTATATAATACACCTGGGCACCCGAGTAGCAGCGGTAACGGATACTGTTGTTGGTCCATGCCTCAACACGAATTCACCTGTGATTTCTCTTGACCCCCAGAGCCTCACGAACTTCCCACTCACGGCTCCCTCTCGCACACCGTCCACGTCACGATCTCAATATAAACGCCGTCAAACCCCACCACCCCGCTCCACTCGCCTGATCATGTCGCGAAAACGAGATTATCTTGACTATCAAGACAGCGATTGGGACGTGATTGACCTAACCATGGATGAGGCTGACAACCACAAGTGGCAGCGCACACCACGAGAGGTGATTGACTTGACCTTGGATGACCGCAGTACGCGAGTGCGCACATCAAGTTTTGGTGCCTCCACATTCACTTCGCCCTCTGGTAGCGAGCCATACCAGCCTGGATCTCTCACGACGCCTGACATTTTGTCCTCTCTTCAAACAGCTGACCAGGGCCATCGAAACCCTTCGAGCCTCAATCTCACTCGCAAACAACTTCCTGCCGAACTCGACCTGCTAGACTCGGAAGACTCAGACGACTCGATCATGCTCAACAACTGGAAGCTGCCCTACATGGGCGGTCCGACTCCCGAAGACATCTTCGGAAGCATGGGTATAACGTTTGAGTCGTCGAAGCCTGCCGCTGTCGAAGCTGTCAAACCCGTTGCGATTATGAAGACCAACAATTGGAGGCCTTTGTCACCCATCCAAAACTCTCGGCAACCCGTCAGAACATTCCACCCGTTCATGAAGCTTCCTCGCGAACTACGCAACAGGGTCTATGAAGAAGTCCTAGTCTCCAATAACGAGATCGCTCCCCGTCTCTGTAACGGCAATGGCAACGCTGTACACTTCCACGATGATAACAGCTGGGCCCATAACAGTATTAGCAACACTTTGGCGATCACCCAAGTCTCCAAGCAGTTGCGCGACGAGGCGTTGCCGATTTTCTATGGGAGCAATACATTCGTCTTTGGCATCGATCTAGCCACCTTCTTCGAACGTCTCTCACAGCTGAACCGCTTTCACATGGTTCGACGAGTAACCTTCCCAGTCCATATGTATCACGAGGAATTCATGAACAGAGTCTTACGCGACGTCTTGAAGAACCTCACAGACCAAGAGCTATTCGAACAATCCCTTCGAGAGCGCTTCCCTAACTTCGATTGGCGTGACCCTCGCGCGGCAATATCTGCCCTCCGGATGCACCCAGCCCATACAGGCGGAGGCGTACCCTGGATCGGGCTATTTCTCGTTCTGCGAAGACTGTCAGCTAGCTTGAATCACAACGCGACCGAGCGTCTCGACCGCGAGCTGGTAGTTCGGATTCCGTCAGAGACCATATTCGCCGAATACAAAGGGCTCAACTGGTTCCGCGAAGTTCTCCGTGATCTTCGCATCAAACTGAAAATCGTGGAGGGCGCACCGGTCCATTGGTTATCTTCCGGCTTTCAATTCGAGTGGAACCAAAAATATCAACATAGACACGTCGACGACCAGATGCTTGGCTTCGAGGATAAGGAGAAGATTAGGGACACTCTCGACAGGACGTACATGTCTGCTATGTACAGAGCGACACCGAACCCGATAAGCTACTACCGGGATGCATGTCCTAATGATGATAGGAGCGGTATTGAGTGGTACAGAGTGGACATGACTGCCAGGCCGGATATTGCGTCGCTGGACGTCAGTATGCGGACAAATGTGGAACAAGGGGATGCGTCTATGGGAGAATCAGAAGATCGGCCCCATTAACTTTCTCTTTCTGAATGCTCGACTTTACCTTAGCCGTTTCATGTCTTTTCTGCATCAGCATTCCGAGCCTTTCTGCCGACCGTGGGCATTTTTCTTCGAAGGAGCTGGACATCATTGAAGGATACTAGCTAGCATCCGCAGAGTAGATGGTGGCCACAGGCTTCATCGACCTGCACTCTACTCGAAAGTGTTCTATAGATCATGCCTTGCAAGGTCGCGACAAGGCCATTGAATATATCTCATTTCAAACCAGCTCCGTCTCCTATACTTTTACACTTGATCACACCAGACTGCACGAAATCTTGATCTCTAGGTATTATGGGGCTGTCGACTCCTTCCCGTCAAGTGAACGATAACTAGTAAAGTGATGTTGCTTGAAGTCAATCGAGCATAGCACGGGCGAGCTCGACTA